ATGTATTCACAGAGCTTTCCCCTGTACCACGTACTGCAAGTGGTTGTGGTGTCCAAAGCAAAGACCAGACATAGAGCAGGCTCATTGGAGCTAGTAGTTGAAAAACAAAAAAAAAAAAAAACCAACAGGTTTGAAGGGAGAGGTCATACTCTTATTAGGGCAACTTCTATAATTGGGAAAAACAGACAAGCTTTTAGACAAACAAGACCACTTCTGGTCTGGAACAGAAGCAGGGGTGTTCAAGCTAAGACCAAAATGAAAACAATTGCTCTACTTTTACTTTGTCAAGTGCTGGTCAGACTAATTGGCCACCTTCTAGAGCCTGCAGAGTCATCAAGCTCTGAGTTACGAAGAAAATATTTTTGATCCAGTTATCTCAGTCTGTATTAATCCCACATATGGCTCCACCAGCTTCAGCAGACAAACATCATTATCCAAGCATTTAATGATCATTTCCATTGAGGATTTGTTTATTTATAGAAGGCAGGGTGGCCTTTGTGGGCAGAACTCTAGGCTGAACCTCTGAAGCCCACTCTATCTTCCCTAAGCTGCTGGCCTGCTGCGTCATCTGCAGTGAGTGGGTCTGTCTGTCAGCTTCTGTGTGGTAAATAGACATACCAAAACTGGCCTCCTTGCAAAGCCCTTTTGTATCTACAAAGGAGAAGTGCTGCACGGCAGTTATACACTTCTTCATTACTAGCTCTTTTTCATGTGGTTCCTTTAATAGACATTTGAGTTGTGATAGTGTTACACCCTGTTCTCTTCTGAGCAGGGTGTAACGCTGCTGCTGGTGCTGGTAGCATCTCTGTTTGCCAAATGTGACTAGAAGACTCCTACTACTGTGATGTGAGCAGCTACAAAGTTATTTCTCTAAACTTCCTAATATTAGACATGCTCTTAAAAGGGAAAGGTTATGTACGTTCAGGAGCTACTCAAGTTTCTTTATCTCCCTGGAAAATTATTGCAATCTGAGCAGGCATATGTGGAAATGAGTAACTGTGTAGATGTTCACAGATTCTCCAGTAAAGTACAGTAAATGCCATCTTTGTCACCTTTAAATAAAACACAGGAAAATGAATGCTGAAGCATTTCCCATTATTCTTAATGTATATGTATGAGCAGTCAAATGTACAAATGCATAACCATACTTAACAAAAGCAAATGTATGTACTATGAACATGGGTGAGGATGTGTACATTGGTATTAAATAGTGTGCATATATATATATATATTTATTTATTTATTTGTTTATTTATGTATCTATAAATTATGTCAAATAAACATTTAGGTTGCAAAGCCAAGCAACACTGGGTAGTGTAGAATGCAGATTTCTCAGGCATTCTTAATTAGCCCTTTTTAATACGTAGAATTATACAATTTTACTTGCATGATAACGTATAGGACTTTTTTCCTTAACAGATTCTTTCTTCAGCCAGTCAATAGGGGAACAGTTTTTAACCTTTCTGCTTTTTATCTTATTCCATTGAGTGCTCTGTCCTCAAATCTCATATTAGTGCACATGATCAAAGTATTACACTGAATACAGAAAAAACATTAATCCACTTCCAAGGTTTAGTTTTGCTGTTGCTTCCCCAACAGCATCTTAATATGCCACAAATCCTGATGAACATGTCTCTGCAAAACATCTATGCAGGGTGAGAATTCTATTTTTTTTTACAGTATTATTGCCATCTTGCAAAAGCACTCAAGCACAGGGGGAGAAAGGACAAAAATGTCAGAATGACAACTTTCAGTGAAAGCTGAAAGAGGGAGCTGAGGGAGCCTTTGCATGTGTAGAATTTCCCTAAGACTTTCTCCACTCAAAGCACAGTGCCAGTTGACTTCAGCTTTCAGCACTTCTGCATTTCAGGCCCCAGGTGTCTCTTGCTGAGCACCCAGAAAATGAAGCCAACCACTCAAGAGGGAGGAAATTCCAGAATTATGTCATCATGCCTACACGTGGGGAGGGGAAAGGAGCTAATCGTGCCCAGGCAATCCAAATTCTGGCATTTGCTAAGATTTTAGCATTTGACTCACAACCCTATCATTCTTTTATCTGAGTTTCTCTGTGTATGTGTATACATTTCTCTGTAAATAAATAAGGACATCTAAACTGTGTCTAATCTGCTAAAAACTCTTGCACTGCTTTCTCAGTAAAACTATTTTGATGTTTGTGCCCTTGTAAAAAGGCATGACGTGTTTTAATAACTTTTACTTACTTCCATTTATCCCTACTCTGCATTAAAAGCAGGAAAGGGCTATAGGCAAGCAAATAATTTGATGCCCAAAATCAGTGGGATCAAGGACTTCTAGAAACAGGGGTAAATTTGCTTCACTTCAACCTGAAAAACTGCTGCTAAATCTCAAGTCCTAAATTTGCTGCATCATCCCTATCCATTACCAAATTGCAAGTGAAGCATTAAAAAGCATTGCAAGAAGTCTTAAAAATCCCAAACATTTCAGTTTAATATTGGTGTAGTTTTTGATTGCTGCCTGAAAATTTTCTCACCTTCTGAAACTTCCCTGCACAAGCTGGCAGGTTAGAAGCAGGTTAAAATGGAAGCAGAAATCCACATTTAAACAGCTGGTTCCAAAAGCTGGTGCTTTAGGGAATGAAAACTTTTAGTGGAAGACTCACAAAACTTTTGTAGGAGCTGGTTTTGTTAGTATCTACCATAATTCTGTCTGTGTGTATATATGTGTACAGCATTGTGATCCTATCTGTGTGTGCATGGTTCTTGAGGTTAGCAGAATATTCACTCCCTGCTGCACCAGACACTCATGCTTCTCACCTGTTCTTTGAAACTGGGAGTGCCTCTCTCTTCCCTGCAATCCCAATCTCCCCTAGCACCACAGACCAATGGCAGAAGGAGCTTTTTTTACCCCTCGTGTGTGTACAACAGTAGAGCTCTTCTCTGCTGACTGTGTTGGATGTTACCTGTCTTTCACCCAGTGGACAGAGCAATGTATTTACCCTGCCAAACTGAACTGCCCTGCCTTGCTGTCTAACAGTTCATCCTTAGTCCTTCTCTGTAGGGTACCTAGGGAAAAGTAGGCACCAGAGAGAGGCATTGTGAGTACCCTACCTTTTTTTCCACCTCAGGTTCCATGGTCTGACAAATCCCTGATAAAGGAGTTGGCATACATTAGTAGTGCTTTTAATTCTGGAAATTCCTCTTCATCCATGCTGTATTCCTCCTCCCTTTCCAGCTTGGGAAGCACATGGTTATCCCTCGTATCTGGTGGCTGGGGAGATGAGCTTTCCCTTTCTCCCCACTGCAGTCATTAGCAGTAAGGGGAGTGATGGGAGATTTTATGCCAAGATTTCCTCATTTTACAAATAGGGAAAAGCATATCTGTCCATGCTGAGACACCTCCTTACAGTATGTGACTGAGCCGTGGTCTCCAGCCAAGATACTGCAGAATCACAGAGTCACAGAATATTCTGAGTTGGAAGGGACCCACAAAGATCATCGAGTCCAACTCTTAAGTTAATGGTCCATATGGCAGCTAGCAACATGTGCCCTCTGGGCTTCTGGGAGAAGTCCTAGGGTAGGCAATGTGGTGGGAATAGTACGGTGCCTATTACGTTATTGAAAACAAAATACAGCTGCATGTTCCTGTTGGTTGAATGCAACCTGTCAGCACCAGCATCTCGCAAGACGCCAGGACTGATTACAGCCAGCCTTCACAGCAGAAGGTGCCAGTAACCAACCAGCTGGTGAAGCTTGATATGTTTTCCCCATTAACGTGGCAAGTTAGAGAAGGGAGTGTGCCTGGAGAAACACCATAACACAAGGAGCTGTATGGTGACAGCAAGTTGCTCAGAAAGCCCCAGAGGAACTGCAGTGTTTTCCTGATGGCTGAATGCCCCAGGGCCAGGACAACATGTGATCTCTCATGCAATGGACCAATACAGGGCACCAGTGATACTTGCTATGCCTTGGTGGTATGTCAAGCTCCAAAATAACTGCGAAATAATTCCTCCATAGCCCATGGATTTACTCATCCTAATTGTTAAATACTTTTAGGAGCAGCTCTATTTTCATTCCTCATAGTTCACAAAATCTAGAAACCTTTATGTCTTTATCCTCTCAAGAATGTGAGTGGGTTGGGTGCCAGCCCTGGGCACAGGAAAAATGGATCACATTGCTGTAACAAGCTAGTAACAAGTAAAGAAGGCTAGGTGGATTCTGAGCTATTTTGGTGCATCACTGTCTTTTTAGCTCTGCTTGTATTATGTTCTGGTCTGGACAATCAGAACCCTTGTAACTTCAGAGAAACATCAAGGAATGAATGGTTTGCCCTCCTGAATAAAATGAGAACATGTGAGTGTGGGGAGAGAGGGGGAGGGAGAGATGCATTTGCATAGGTCAGGAAAGGTCATTAAAACATCTGGCGGTAGTAACTGACATGTGTCAAATTTTAGTGTTCATTAAATTTGTATTAATGCAAGAATGGTTTCTAAGCTCCAAATGCCACTTTTGGTTGCTATATTCCCCCAGCTGATGGTGATGACTTTTCAGAACTGTGCCATGCTTGTTTTCTTGCTAGTGGCATCTGACCTGAGGTCAGTTTTCTGTTTAACCTATTCCTGTAGGTCAAAAGACAAATTAATCTGGTGAGAATTGAATTGGAAATGAGATATCTGGATAGCAGGTGTCCCAGCTGTGGAATAGCTGGCAGGCTGAAACGTGTTTGTATCTGTCCTCATGCCATCCCAGAAGTCATATCCGAGGTCAGGGAGATATTCAGTTGACATCTGAGAGGGGAAGTTATGGGGAGCAGAAGTGGCAGGTGCCCTGTGCAAGGGGATTATCTTGCAGTCAGTAGGGAAATGTCTAAGAGTGTCACTCTGAGCATAAATGTACATGTTCCGTGTATTGGGCACATTGCCTTACCATTTTATAATTGTAAAGATGTCAGACAATTTCCAGGCCTCTTAAGGAGGAGAATCTAACAAATCTTTTTCTTCCTTTTTTTTTCTTTTTTTTTTTTAGAGGATGAAGATGATGAAGAGATGGTGGAGCCAAAAACACAGGATGACTTAGAGACAGAAAAGCAAGACCAGAAGCAGGAAGTGAAAGAAGGTACTTTAAAAAATGAAAAGGATTATGTTAGATGTTAAAAGGACTGGATTCTGCCAGTAGTTGCTCTCATTAGTAGTTTCCACTATTAAGAACACTGAAATTAAAACAGTAACCAGTTTTATTGATTCAAAACCATATGAGTAGCATAAAAGCAGAAAATTGCATTCCAGAGACCCAGCTGGTAGGGCTGAGAAGATTGTGGAAGGCATGAGACTTGAACTGTTTAGAAAAATGTCCTACATGTCCTTATAATTTGAAAATGAAGTAAGGATTCTTGGATCCCAGTACTGGTACTCATGGCTCAAATACATGAAAGATTTAAAATGGGAATGCCAGGAATTCCAGCAGCTCTCTAAAGTTTGTTGGCCTTCAGAGTACTTGGAGCCCATAACTGTGTGCCTGCTTGAGAGGAACAAACTTAAACCTAGTGGTAGTCAGGAATCTTCCAGCAGAAAATAATTTCACTTGAAAAATGTTTTCTGTCAAAATCAAAGTGTTTTGTGGGAACTGCCTCAAGGAACTTAAAAAATCCCCCTGAAGCCAGACTGGTCCAGCCCTTCTGTCCATTACTCTCTATTGAGGTGTTCTGCACCATTACAAGAGACAAAAATTCAGGTTACTACTTGTTTCTGGTGCAGACAAGAGACACTTGCTTAAGTCATGCATGTCAGCACTGATGTGGTAGATATATTTGGTGTCTCTTTTCCTTTCCTTGGACCTGTCCTAGCTTTCAAATTAGAAGAAGGATGTGAAATTTGCTCTTCCTCATCTAGAAATTTACTAAGGTATTGGCTATCCTAGTGTGTCAATGCCTTCCACAGTCAATGCTCACTCCTGTGTTGAGAAGGGAAAAAGAACTGAAATAGCAGCAGCTGCAGGGTGGAAAGAAATGGGGTTCTTCTACAGCATTTCTTACTTTTGTTTTGCCAGGACTGCTGAAAATTCTGTTTAGCTTCTTGAAAGGTAGCTTACTTGTTTGGGTAGGGCCTAAGTTATTTCTTGCTGTGGTGATCATTACCAGTTTAATTCTGTGGGCTTGGTTTTTCCCAAGATAATCTCAGTAGGGGAAAAATATGGAGTCATTTCACATGGAAGCCCATGAAATCTTCAACTGGGAATACAGCAGCTGATGCTTATGTCTCTTCCAGGGAGACTGGTATCTTTTCATCAGTATCCAAAATAATTAATCTGGTACACAGTGCCCACATTTGCTATCCTCACCCACTGAAGTGAGTTGCAGTACCAGCCATACCATTTTGAGTATAAGTTGGTCTTTCTTTCCTCTTTAGAGCATCACAGAAATCACCCATGCCATAAATCCTTTCGTGTTCATTGCTCGTTTAGGTCCTTGGGGAAATGTGGAGAGATAAAAGTCCTCCTGCTCCTCATCATTCTGCTTCTTCCACTGGTCCCAGCCACTGATGCCATGGGCAGAGGGGACCAGTGCAGACAGCAGGAACAGGAGTCAGGCAAGTCTGCGAAGGCAGGACTGAGGACATGAGCAAGATATGTGGCAACACAGAAAAACTTCATTCTTCATGAAAATTACTTTTCTTTTCAAAACTGTGATGTCAACTTGCATATGGGCTTTTGCAGTCAGTTGACCTAACACCGTAGCTCTTACTGATGGCAACAGAAAACCATAAAAACCTCTGCACACTGCATAAGCACTGTCCTGGGTTGCTGAATGTCCCTGTAGTATTCAACTTAAAGCTTATCCCACACCCATTTATTCCCACAGAAAAGTGATGCTAATGCTTATACTGGGGGAGAAAGCACAAACTCCTGCAAAAAGAGAAGAAGAAAAAAATCAAAATAGAACTCTGAACTGATTTATTTTACTTTTTTAATGGGCTTTCAAGTTAGCCTTTTATGTACTTTGCTCGCCAGCCACCACTGCCAGCATCTTTTATTTCTTTGCTGTGCTTCAGTCAGAGGGCAGTGCTCCCCTTCCCTGCCTAGCAGACCCGCAGGAGCAGTAGATCATCTGGCCTGGTTTAGCACTGGTCTCAGACACACAAACTGCAGGCTGTAAAAGCAAGGCACAGCTCATTTCAGCAGAACTGACTTTGTGAGGTGCTAACATCTGACGGGGTTCAAGGAAGAAGAAAACATGCTCATTGCCTGATAGAAAGTGAACTTGACCTGTAGTATGTGTTGTGATAGATAAAATAGTGGTGTGCTGCTGCGAGGCATTAAATGCTGTGAATCAAATGAAGCCTTCGTCCCCAAACTGACAAGGAACGGAGGCCCATTTTTTAGTGTTTGGTGTCATTCTCTCCCTGTTGGCTTTAGCCCTTTTGCCTACAAAATCCCATTTTCCTCTCTGTTGTAATCACCCTTCTCATGTTCTGAGCAACATTCAGAGTTTGAAGCCATCGTTTGTGTTTCATGGAAGTGATTAAAACCATGTTACAAGTCAAACAGGAGTTTAGAAGAACATTTCCTGTCGGTGCTGCACTCTGTGTGCCTACTCAGAATTAATAGCTTTTCTGCAAATTAGCACATAATGGGTTAAAAGCATGTTTATGTTGGCATTAAGTACTCTGGCTTCTTTTTCTCTGCAAGGCAAGACAATATTTTGCAAACTTTTTAAAAAATCTCTAATAGACATTATAGTGGCGCCATTCACACTGCTATATAGTAGTTAAGGCTGTGTCAGCACTTCCATTATGAATCCTGTTTTTCAGGGATTTATAACCCAGCCGTAAAAATTTGCTCTGGGCTGAAATTTGGTTTCAGCTCAGGGAGCACATTTTTTAACAGATTAAAAAAAATCAGCATGGCCTTTTTTGAGTTATAGGAGTGTTAAGAAAAAATCCATGAGAGAGAGAAGTGCAGGGAGAGAAATGAAGACCATTTTTTCATGAATATAACTCAAAAATTGGTCAGGATAAAAAATAAAGTTTGGATGCAGTCTGTTCAGTCTCCCTCTCTCAAGCCAACAGGACAAGAGTGCTCTATTTTTATAATGGTATTTTAAGAGGAAACAGGATTTTTTTCCTATGTGGTTTATAGGTAGTTCAGTTTAATTCTTCAGACATTTATTGCATGCTTAATTTCCTCATCTTACCCCCGCACACCCCAGAGTTGCTCTATGGGGTTTGGTGGGATTATTGAGCAGTCAGGAGTGTTTGTAGGGTCTGACCCTGGTTCTGGACATGTCCCAGCACCACTGTAAGGCCCTCGGTGCACCTGCATTGGGGCAGCCTGTCTGGCATGGCCCCTCTTGCAGAACTTCACTGCCATGGAGATGTGAATCCCCCCAAAGTGGAGTGGGAGATGAAAAACTGACTCGTTGAGCACTTGAAGTGTATGAAGCCTTGGGACCACCTTGTGCTCCTTCCATGGGGCTGCCTGTTGCCACCCGTGTCTTGGGCACAGGTTCTCCCCATTGTTTTTGGAAGAAGCGAGTGTGGGATACCTGACGGTGAACTGGGCTGGGCTCTGCCTGTTCCCAGCCTCTCCTGACCACGTAAACAAGAGACTGGTCCCAAACTGTGGCAACAAGTGGGATGGGGTTTTCCACCACCAGAGAGCTCTGGAGCTCCACCTAAGGCTCCTCTTTGTGTCAGTAGAAACCACAAGAACAACGGGACGGGCTAGGTCTTAAAAGTGGGCCTCAGCCTGCATTTATCTGAAGCCATGGGCATATCCACAGAAACTTGCAGGAAAGTCTGTGATGGGAAAGGCTGGGATCTGCAGCTCCAAAGATCTGCTGTGCCCTGCTCTTGCCCTGGCTCTGTGCATGGAGCTCGGGTGTCCAGAGCAGGCTGGGCTGGTGGGGATGGTTTCGCTCTCAACAGCTCAGGCATCAGTATTGGAAAAGCAAGACAGGTTGTGGTGAGGTTTGTCATGGCCAGAAATGCCACAGTTTCACTGCCACCAACACCACAAGGAGCTCAGGTGTGCCTACCCATCCTTACAGCCAGCTCAGGCATGCTCAGGGGTGGTGTCCAGCACAGCCCCTGGAGAAGCACAGGCAGTGGGAACAGCCCTGCCTGGCACTGTATCAAATTTAAGGCTCTGCAACTTGCTACTCTAAAATCAAAAAATCCCTAAATAAAGCTTGAAATCTTCCTTTTTATGTTTAGTGGTTATGCCATGAAAGGGCTTGCCAGCACAACAAAGGCATGACATATATCAAACCATAGTATGGGACACAGCAAAGCAGGATATGGCATTTGTCAAGCCTGACATGAAAGTGCAAAGCACAAGAAAAGCAGGAGGATCACAGGATCAGCAGGCAAGGACTGAAAGCTGCTGAGAGCCACTTTACACCTTGAAGTTCTCACCCTGTGCCTTTCAGCCATCCTCCATCGTCAGCACATCTAAAGTTTACATGGATTTAAATAGATGCTGAAAGAAATAATACAGCTCTTAAAGGGGTTTTAATAATCTCCTTCTGTCTCTCATTATATCTCTGGGTTGATAACAAGGCTGTTTCCTGCTTTACTGTTTTTATTAGTTTGCCCTTTCTTTCATTCACTTACTCCTTTTGGTCTTTTTCTTTTGGTTGGTTTTTGTTTTTTTTTTTTTTTTTCCTAAATGGACTTAATTTTCATTTCTCTTGTCTAGGTTTTAGAATTGCTGAGATTCCAGGAGAATCTTTGTTATATTTATTTAAATGTGGGATGGGGGTTTTTTGTTTTATTTTTTTATGTTTTTTAACTGTCTTGAGAGAAGACTCAAATTCTAGCACTTGAATATTTCTAAATTTATTCCTGCACTGTTATCCCAACTATTTGTGTTGTATTTACTACAAACATGCTTCTGCCGAATAAGAACAAGTCTGCATAAATTTTATCTTCATTCCTAAATATTCAATAAGATGTTTTAATATAATTTTTTGTTTCTTTCTGTTTTGCCCAAAGAAATTTATGGACAAAGAACCTGATGTGAAATATGGTATTTCTGAGGATTATGTTAAATCGCATGAAATGATAAAATGTTCCTACTTTTGTAAATAAATCTCGAGTAAATTGATTGTTTTCGCATCACTTTCAACTATTGTTTCATATTCTAGACCTTCCTGTTCAAGCACAAGTACGTAATATCTTTCATTACAGATGTACCTCACAGTTTCTTTCCCTGTGAGCATTTATTACAATGTAGAGCAATTTAATTTTAGATGTAAATTCCATTTTGTTTTGTACTGTATTGTACATTAGCATGGACACAGGGCTGCTTTGGTAGCTGTTGCTGACATCCCAGCCACAGAGCCCTTGCAGAGCAGGCTGCTGGTGCTGCGGGGCCCCGTCCATGTCTCGGTGGCTGCCCCACAGATCCTCCTGCAGTGAGCCGTGCAGGGCCACAGATGGGTTCAGCTCCTTGGCGTGGGGTCAGAGCCCAGACACAGCAGTTCATGTGGAAGCTATGGTGTCGAAACAAAAGCAGACTATGGAGCTTTCTTTGCAGGAGTTTTCGTGGCACTCCAGGCAATAAGCACGCAGCTTTTAGCAGTGGTAAGCTACGCACTGCACTGGGCTTTGTTCAGCACAGAAGGTTAGATGTGGTTGGTTTGGGTTTTGTGCCAGGGAGAGCAGATACTTGAAGACAAATGCTGTATTCTTACAGGGAATTTCTGGAGATATTGTCACATCACATAGGTCTCTGTGACAAAACAAAACAAAACACACTTTGATCAGCTACTTATGTTTCTCAGTTTTCCTTAAAGAGAGCCTGTGTTTCTTGAAAGCTGAGATCAAAGTCACTGTAAGCTCCCAGATCGGAAGAAAAATTGCAGAAAATTACATACGTTCTTTTTATTTTATTTGAGGTAATGGACAGACAGGGAGAAGGAACAAGAAGAAAATGGAAATGTCTCTGAAAGATAAATGGTTAGAAAACCTCCATATTTGAAAGAACAAGCCTGTCTGTTTGGGTTTTTTTGCTTATAGTTCATGTATTTACAGTAGTTATAGCAGTGTTTTACACTGGAAAAAGTAACGATAACATTCTTGTAAGAAGAGATTGCCTCAAATAAAACTTCAGAGGCAGCCGAATGAAAGAAGAAAATAAGGCTAAAATATGAAGCTTAATATTGCCAGGGGGCATCTGGTGTGTCAGTCAGATGAATGAGGTAAGCTGATTTATGCCCTAAAAACTTTAGCCAAGGTGTTCCTGATGGTTTAATAGACTGCTGGCCTCCCACAGATCATTGCTAACTGCAAGGGAGATTTTGCTGAGGTAGAACTACAACCATGTTTCTCCACTGCTTGTGAGCACTCCACAGCTCCCAAGTTTTTTATTTTTTGCCTTTTCCCTTTCTATTGATTTTGGGTTGTATTTTCTTTGCAGTTATAGTCAGCAAATAGCCAAGTAATAAATTTATATTCCCAAGCTGTAGAGAGGATTTGATTTAGCAAATAATTTTTACCATTTGCAGCAGTTTAACACGAGTTTTCCAGTTGCCTTTGCAGTTGTTTTCCCCCTCTTTATGCCATTTCTCTGCATTGTCATGCTTGTTGTCTTTGATTCTCGGAAAGCAATGCTTTAGTGGTGACGATGGGATATTGCCTCATTACAGGCTTCCTTGCCAGATGAGTTCCTCACTGCCAATTACTGTTCAGCAATGGATGCTGCAGTAGGTCAAGCTGTACTTCTTGCTAGTCTTTTCTTTCACATGCATTGCTTCTGTGTAAAGCACTTAGGGGCAAATTGTGCTCCTGCCTTGGTAATTGTTGCTCTGCTACTCAGGGGGACCATGTGAGGGGATGCAGATACTCTCTGGATGCATGGAGCTCCACAGGGACCACTAAGCTGCTGGTAGGAGACATAGGGCCAAGGCCATAGGACATCATCAAAGGCTAAAGTTTGTAACTTTTTAGCTGCTCTGTCTCCTGACAGCTAAATTGCTCCTACAGCTTTTGCATTTCTCCTGCCCTCTCCCTTTAGCTCAGTGTAGTGCAGAGATTTTGTCTTTCAGAACTAATGCTTTGACCACCTGAGGCAAACTTTGAGGCAAAGCACGGTGATAGCAGCCTCTCCCAAGCACAGCAGCCCTGAGAGCAGGTATGCTGAAAACAGGGGGAGCTGAGTACTGCTAGGGTGATGACCACGTCACTCCTCCTGCCTGCTGCTGTGCCCTTCCATCCATTCCTGCCCCATCCAGTTGGGCACTGGGGTGCATGAATCCAAGGAAGCAGAGGAAAATCAGATGGAGAGCAAGGGCCACATCTGCCTGATCGCTGAAAGAAGCTGTGTGGCATAGCACAGAAACTAGAAAATCATTTTGAGCTGGAGCTTGAAACTGTGTCACTCACTGTTTAATTAAACATTGAGATATGTATGACAGGGCTGGGAGTTAAACTTTGCTGTATGGTGGGTGTTCTCTGAATTCCCTTTTTTCGCTGCCAGTGTTTTAAGCCAATATGGCCTATGGAGACTGCAAGGTCATTTTCACAGGTAAACACCTCAAATCTGTAGTCTAAAGCTAAATGCTTTAGACTTTCAAACAGTAGACCTTTGATCTCCTGTTAAACTTTTACGTAGGAGTCTCTGTAGTTTTGCAGTAAATCTGTTTGTGATATGTTGTTTGTGTTCCTAATTATAAATTTGGAACAAAATTCTCTGTCAGCAGAGCTTTTTGTGCTGGGAATTTAGGCTAGTTGCAAGGTTGGTTTGGGGTAAGTGTAAAGATATTAGTGTCATTTCTTGAAATACAAGTAATTCTGAAATAGAACTATAATGATGATTCAAAACACTTGTGGGCAAATACATCATCAATATGCAATATTGCCAGAATATCAATATGACCCTGATAGTGCAACTGAGAACAGAATTTTTTACTGTAGTAACAGCAGCATCCCAACTTTCATTCCTTCTGATACTCGCGTTTGAGTTGTAATTTACCAACAGGTCTTTAAACTGATGGAGACGTTGCATTGATGCGTTCTTTAAAGACAGTATTTTTCAAATGAAAGGCCCAACTGGAAATATTGGAAGTAAAGGTTTAGCAACTCTGAGTACATGCAAAGAAGCAACTTCATCTTGGGGGAGACATGCTATTCTTACTGCTGCCCAGGGCAGCTTTGCCCATGGCTCGGTGACGTTTGTTGCTCTGGGTCTTAGGATTCCTCTGCACGAATAACACTGCCTTAGAGAAACTGCTGTTTGGCTGGTTGCTTTCAGTTTTGCTGCCTCAGAGAATATCTTTGGTTATTCACTTCATTACTTCGCAAAAGCTGTGAAGCAAAGACAGAATTTGTCAGTGACACCAAGTAGAAATTGGAAGAATTGAAGGGAGAGATTATGTGAGACCTTTTAATATAAAGAACTGCAGTATAAGTTAAGAAGATTATTTTATCTTCAGCTCCTCTGACAGGTCCTCTGTTACATAAGTGTTCTGCTTTTTCTAGTTAGGTATTGCCTAAACGTCAGTCACGGCCATTTCCTGAAATAGGAACACTGGGTTTATTTAATTTGGGGGGTTTAAGTATTTTCCATTTCAGAATAATAAATACATAAGATACAGGATCTCTTCTATGTAAAGGCTACATTCTGATAATATACAGGAGTATGTTTAGATGTATTAAAAACTTCTTAGTCATGATTTTAAGAGTAAAGCTTTGATTTTTCTCCTGACATGGCTATAGAAAGCTTTCATGTCAAAAGAAACCCACTGAAGATGTTGATTCATTGGGAAAGGGGTGAAATGTCATACTCCTAACTTCATCTTTTCATTTTCCAAGCTCCTCCTAGAGAACTGACAGAAGAAGAAAAGCAACAAGTTCTCCATTCAGAAGAATTCCTGATATTTTTTGACCGCACAATACGTGTAATTGAGCGAGCTTTGGCTGAAGATTCTGACATCTTCTTTGACTATAGTGGGAGAGACGTAGAAGAGAAAGATGGGTCAGTTTGGGGTTTTTTTTTGCTTCTGTAAAATAAGTTTTATAAAGATAAGTCCAATAACAGGAAGCCTTAATTTTAAACAAAATTTAACATTTTTATTCTTAAGAAAAGCTTAAATTCTCTCTGTGAAGCCCTGGGTAACTTTGTCATCTGAAATGATATTTTAAAATAGCTTTGTGATTTACTGATCTGGATTTTGGCAGGTTTTTTAATTTGATGTGTTATTCAGCTGGTTTAATTTTTTGTTTCATTTTTGCAATGAAATTCAAAATTCTGGGAAAATAACTGAAAGAGATAAATGTGTGTATACACAATGTGTGTGTACATGTAAATGTGTACATTTCAGTGGTGTACATGTGTGTGCTTATGATATTTTCACAAATTCAAGCTAGTGTTGTTTATATTCTACTACTGCCTCAGGTCTGTAATGGATCCCACTTTACCATGCATTGTGGGGATGAAATGATCTCCCAAAGTGTTTGCAATCTTTACAGCTAAGACGAGAAGTGACAAGTTTTGTTTTCAGCAATTGATATGGGAGCAAAGCAGTAAAACTTGTTAGTTGGAGAGGAAATATTTAGGTTGCAACAGCTATGTATCTGTTGAAGCCTTATGGCAAATCAGTAGCTGTATTGCATGGAAGTTACTGGAGGTTAACCCAGAACAGCATCCCTATGGACCAGCTGAGTGCATCAGTGTGGCAGTGTTGGACCAGCACTGAGCTTCATCCTGTCCTTACGGAGCCACACAGCATCTGCTGTCTCCATCTCTGGGAGAAGGTGCTGTACCATTAACATTTTAGGAATCATAAGTAAGAAAGGTTTCATTATAGCTTGGAGGTGAAAGTTCGTAAAAGTGGGAGCTGAATGCCAGGGCCAGGTTCATCCTGGGAGACCAACAGGGCAGAGATGGCCCAGGGTGACCCAGAAGAGTCAGGCAAGCAGCAAGAAATTAAAAAATGTGGTTTTGTGAAACACGCCTAAAATTTGTTCCTTGTTGCATCATTTTCAGCCAGACACTCAGTGAGAGCAATTAAATCAAGGTGGCAGACTTCCCCAGGCTGAGCAGAGATCTGAGAAATAGTCAAAAACTTTTGCACTGCTTTTCACAGCATTTGAACCCTGCTACTTGAAAATATATCACTTTGTTTGAATTCACACAGAGATGTTCAAGCAGGAGCCAACCTTTCCTTTAACCGGCAGTTTTATGATGAGCACTGGTCAAAGCATCGTGTCGTCACCTGCATGGATTGGTCTCTTCAGGTAAGATGTGGATTTGGAAGATATGTTTCCATATCACTTCCACTTCTCCCTATAAAACTTATGGACAGCCTCTGTTTGCTCTTCTTTATGCAGAGCAGGATGTTATTTTTGAGATAACAGCAGGGCCCTGTGTGAGTGAAAGCACTTTTCTCTGTGGAGAAGATGGTGAACAATAATGAAGCTGTCATTGTTTTTGTATATGTTACTTCGTCTTCAAAATCAGGATGTTATGTTAAAACCCTAGGTTAAACCTACCAATATTAAATCTGTACTTTTCCTCCCTCTTTCACTACTTCAGCCAAAAATGGAAATTTTTTTAGGACAAAAGGTTTAAAATTAAACTAACTAAAATTAATTTACTAAATATACATAATTATACATAGTAGTATATAAAACGTTTTTAAATGGTGAGAAAAAAATTAATTTTTCTAATATACTAAAACTTAAAATGTGAAAGTATCTGAACAATTTAAAAAGATTGAAAATAGTTCTTTCAAAAACTGCTGGGTCCTGTCTTCAAGTGATGGAAGAGGAGGCTACAGCTGCTCTAGGTCATGCTAAGGCAGCATGCCTGGGATGCACCCAGTTTCTCTGCACTGTAAAGCATTGTCATTGGAAAATAAAACTGATGATAGACCTGCTTAAGCTCTCCAAAACCACTGCAATCACATCAGCAAAGTACAGAAACCAGTTTAATTAGTTACTCTGTTGGAGAGCTGGAATTATCAGACATCATCACAGGTCCTGTTAAATTAATTTTGTTCCAGTTTTACTCCAGCCCCCCTTGTCCTGTTTCGTTATTGTTAGCCTGTTCCTAGGTTCTGGCCTTGAGCAAAGCATCTGGTTTCCCTGGGGAGAGAACCAAGGAGACTCTGCTCCTCAATCCACCATACACGTATAACAAAACTGCTCCAAGAGGACATTGAGGTCAAAAATGCAGGCACAAGCCAGGCTGGCTTCTTGTCCCCAAACCCAGCCTCAGGCGTGCCACGGGATAAGAAGCATGGAGACTTTAAATCCATGCTTCTCTCTTTCCCCTTGAAATGGCCACAGAGCTGCTTCCATCCCTCTGGGTACTTCCCAGGCAAGGTGGCAGTGCCTGCACAGAGGACCTGGAGGCTGCAGGGAGGAGAAGAGTCAGGGGGTCCCAGTGAGCACGGCTGCTGGGCTGAGGACGTCTGGGTGGTGCACAACAGCCAGTTGCAGAGAGGCTTCTTGTAATAGCCAGCTTGCACTCCATGTGTGAAATGAAGGATTTATACCTTTGCTTTCATACAAAATATCAACCTAGAAACAGGTATGCACTATTGTGATGTGGGTGGCCTTTAAGCACATATGGATTTCCACAGAAATCAAATATAAGCCTGAGGAAACACTTATCTTAGGTTGTTCACTTGTTCAGGGGCTGGAAATTACATGGAATTCTTATCTGATATTTTCCTAACAGGCAGCTCTTACTGTATTCCCAGGGCAGCAAGAAAAAAAGCCGCCTCAGAAGAGCACTGCCAAATGTAATTGTTCAGCCCCTGGGGCTTGAAGGCATGTTCTGCTTCCCACCTCTTTGTTCCAGGGTGGCCCCTCCTGCCTTCCTCTTTGTTAACTCCTCATGCTCAGCTCCCTGGCACCCCAGCAGGGGCTTCTGTATGTGGGGGGCTTCTGCATGCTGCCCTACAGTAGCTTGGGAGTATGGAGTTGCCTCCTCTCCTTCCTGCTTTGAGTTGTATCCACGAGACAAGAGCTGGAGCCAGACAGAGGTATTTCACCTAACCACTAGCTCTGCTGCTCACACATGCTCCAGGACATGACAGTGTCCACTGTGCCAAAGAATAACTTGAATAATCATGGGAACTGCAGAACACATTGCTCAATTTTCTGCGATAAAACTGCTGCTGCGAAACAGCCTGGAGGCAAATAGAAGCTTAATCAAACAAAGGACATTGATGCATTGATTAAACAAGTTACTCTGTTCCCAGTCACATGTAGAATACAGTCTCAAACATGTGGGATCATTCATACCGTTCAAGTTAACCCTCTAGCCCCTTGCTTCCTTCACAAAGCAACAAGAAAATGGCTTAGGTGCTTAAGGATCTTAGGGAAAGGCCCAGTAGACTGAGAGTAAACACAGAGAATGATAGCACCTTCCTCTGTCCATGAGATCACCTACAGCCAAGAAAATCATGGTTTCTGGGATAGAGATGTGTCTTTCTGGACCCTCAGGCAGCAGCCTTGAAGGAGTTTTTGCACAGCACCATTTCTATGTTGCTTTCATTTGCAGGATATCTGGGCACCTGGTGAGGACTGAAACTGTGTAAATGGAAGTAGATTGAGCGGGGCATTGGAGTTTGCAGTGCCAGGGAGGATTTAGGGTACTGCACTTAGCTCTGTCCTTTTAAGAGTCAAAAGCCTCATAATGGTGTTACCCAGCTAGGTATGACCCCAGCATCCGTGTAAACTTTAAATTGTGTTTCCAGTCAAATACATAAACTGATTGCAAAACCTGCCAATATGTTGTGTTGCAGGATTCATTTGGTGTGTTCTGTTACCCCCTAAAGCTATAATGGTTCAGTCCTGGGATCCCCCTTCCCCCTCCCCTGGAACCTCTCTCTCTGAGAGTGTCAATTCGTTCTCTCCTCCCCTGTTTCCCTGGTTGCCTTCTGTCAATCCCTCCCCAAGTTTTGTCCATCACCCACTGTCTCCTTCCCATATTCCAGAAAGTTCTCCTTTCTTCGGTGGGTGATTGGATCGGGAACAGGGGTCCCTCCCTGTCGCATTCCCTGTTGGCTAGCCGGCATGTTTCTCACGAGTTTGTTCACTCCCCAGTTCTCCCTCCTTGGTCAATGTGTCGTGTTTCCACCCCCTTTATAAGCTGCTGTATTCCTGCCTCGTGGTCCCTGCTCGGCTGGTGCACCTGGAGTTAATAAAAGGCTCTGGATTTTACCCCCGAGGAGGGTCCCTCTCTTCTTTCTTCTACTTCGCCTGCCTGCTGCTCCCTGCTGCCCCTTGCTGAGGCGCTCCCGGGACGCCCCGGCGCATCTAGGGAGTGCCCCCCCCGGCTGTCGGCTGCCGTGCCTTCAGCTCAGCCGGCGAGACCTCCTCCCTGCCCGGGGGAGTAGAGAAACTCGGACAGCAGCACAGCACCAATAGACCAGCAAGATTTGAGTCAGTGTCTGTTCATGGCCAGATGTGCTGCGAACCATGCCCACTAAACTTCCCAGGAGCATGAACCAGCCCCAAAGTGCTTCAAAATTGATACTTTGGATCTGGTCACACACCCTAGCTGGTTGTAGTCATGCTGGCAGGAGGGCTTGCTGCTTCTGCCTGCCCATGTATCTGCCCCTTCATGACCGCAGGCTCAGCCACTTGTGTGAATGGTCCCCAACCTGTTCAGCCAAAACGTGATGCTCTGTCAAGAGCCTGCTGCACACTCTGTTTACTTGGCCATGGGCCAGCGTGGGATGAAAAGGTTCAAAGGAGAAGCTGAGCTTGCTGTTCAGAAGTGGTTGCAAACTCTGTTGCAGGAGTGAGAGAGGAGAGGGGTGAGATGAATGAGAGCAGTGGAGGGCAGGGCTGGCACAACTGTGTCCAGAGAGGTGGCATCTCAGGTGTGGAATTAATTCACCCTCAGGTGCCCCTCATGTCTTGATGAGGGAGAAGACACGGTTGGTTGGTCTAATGTTTCCTTTAAATTCCATGCAAGTGAATTGGGTGCTAAATTGTTCTTACAAGCTGCGCCAGCAGCCAGGCTCTGGAGGGATGTAGGTACAATCTAGTCAGTGTTTCCTTAAAATGGGAAAGGGGTAGGCTGTGGTGTCCATGTGTCATTGCCAGTTCTTCCACACATGGGTCCAGACTCATTCAGAGCAATGAGCTTGAATACGAAAATCATCAGCTCTGTGATCCATTATCCATGGAAGCGTACAGAATGTGGGAAGCCTCAGCTGCTGGTGGCAGAAGTTACAGCTGTGTGCATTATTTCTTCCAAATGGATTTTGGGAGCAGAGAGGTTCAGAACCCAATAATAATGATAGAAAGGGTGGTGGTTTGGGGTTTTTTTGTTAATTGTTAAAGTGCCTTTGGACCAAATTCACAACTCCCAAATGAGAATTCTTTGTCCTGTTTCCTATCAGCTGTACTGTTCTCCTGTAAAGTGGTGGATGGTTTGGCAGGAATTTACCTGGGAAAGACAAAAAGTGACAATAATTTGCAGATGCTGAGAAATTTTGAGGGAAAGCATTTCTAATTAACAAGAGGAGAGTGTAGGTCTTGCACAACTTGGGCTGCTGACTCGTTGGTCTGCAGAAGACACAGGCTTTTCTCTGGACATGCCATAATCTCCACTGCCTTATCCCTCTAAATAGGCAAATACTTAGAGGGAAGGACAGAGGTTACCAGAGGTGGCTAGTGTCAAACACGTGAGAGTGAACAACTGAGAGTTACTATGTAGACAGAAAGTAATTGATATTTTGTGGATAAATTGCTACTTCTTCCGGTATTTTAAAATGATGCAAGGTCATTGAGACAGTGTGAAATTCTGATTTTTCATGCATGATATGTATATATAGATATGGATATATAAACAAAGCAAATAAATATGCGTGTTGCATATCTACTTTATACAGCACTGGATAATGGGTATACAAAAAAGTGTGGCTCTGTTTTTAGAGTGCTTATTGCATCAATCCTACTGAGTCAGTGGAATTCAAGGTCACCCTGTGCTTTACAAGATGACCTCAGCATCTTGCAAAATTGAGCTTCTGTGAAGAAAAGGTTTGGTTTGCCATTTGAATCATCAAGAAGAGCTTTCAAGTTGGTTCTGTGTATAAGTGAATAAGAGTGTATAATGAAATAAGAAAGAATGGTTTTCAGGAATGCTGAAAAAAATGTGAATTTCAGAATAAAAGAAAGTCAACCCTATGGTCATAGTGTTTTATTATCAAAATCAATTAAGACAACAGTTTGTCCCTGAAGAGATGCTGAGCAAATACATTAAAATTATTGAAGCTTTCAAATTTTTCCTCCTCCTTCCTTTTCATTCGCTTTACAAATATTTTGCTAGTTGTCTTTTCTTAAGAATTACCTGCAGAAAATAACATTGCCTTTGAGATATTTTAGAATAACTGATAGAGAGCAAGTATCAGGGGCTTTAAGGATGTTAGGGATGAGTAAAATGTAAAACCAAAATGAAGCAGAATAATATGATTTAACTAGCATGTATTTTAATTAAAACCAGATATTGCATATTTACTATAGATTATTTCTGTCTGATATGGTTTTGTTTAGGTTTTTCATTATCCATGTTATTTTATTTGCATTTTCTTTTCCTTTCTAGTATCCCGAATTGATGGTTGCATCTTATAACAATAATGAAGATGCTCCACACGAGCCTGATGGGGTAGCCTTGGTGTGGAACATGAAGTTCAAGAAAACCACACCAGAATATGTGTTCCATTGTCAGGTAAGGCTGAGGAACCCATTGATTTTATGCTTTCGACAATAAAATTTACTACATGGTGCATCTCCCCACTGATTATATGAAAAGGTTAAGGTTAAAAATAGGCAAATTTAGTAAAAGTACAAGTGACAGTCCAGTGTTTTTAGAAGGCAACCAGCCTTCTCAAACAAAAGCCTGTCAGGGCTGCGTGTCATTCTTTGTCTATTTAAAACGGTCCCTAGGAGATTTAGTTCATAAATCCCTCGCACTTAGGAAGCAACTGTGGTGTACCACTTCCTCATCCAGGCAGTAACACATGCTTTCCCACCCACGTTAACTTCCTCGCATCCTCTGCACTCAAGCTGCCTACCCTTGCCTTGGTTCTGCTCAATACCATGTTTTGCCTTTAAAATTGGGTAGTAATCTTTGCATTTTTGGACATGTGTCTGTCTTCCAGCTTAATCAGAATGGTATTGATTTCAAGAACTACTCCACCAATTCCTGTAGGTCAGTCAGTTTGACTGTCCTTTAAGTCAGCAAAATAATGTTTCACTTCACTCAGTGCTACTTTACGATTATGCAGGCTTAGAAGTTTATGGACAATTCAAAAATAGTTAAGTAATTTATTTCTGAATGTCTGTTTGTTCCTCTTCTGCCACTGCTTTTATGTGTGAAATGGCATGGCCTCATATTGACAGAAGTGTGCAGCTCACTGCCTCTATCTCCATCAAATTGTCCAAACTGTGGAACAGGGCTTGGGCCAAATTTCAAACCTCTTCATTAATATCCCTCTGTGGTAATTAAACACAGGACAGTGGCATTCAAAAAGCCATATGGAAAAGTTTCAGCAAGTAAAACTTAACAATCAGAGATTAGTAAAATGCAGATAATTCTGTGGTAAAAATTGCTTCTCTTGGAAGGATATGTATTACCTGGCTAATTGTGTAAGCTAAGTGTCATTTTACATGTGAGGACCAAACATCTTTTTGAACTAAGTTTATGTTTGGACTTGGGTACATTATCAGATGTAACATAGTGGGAGGGAGTTGCTGGAATTGAAGTTGCTGCTTCAACCCGATTAAGTAACCTTTAATTCTGGGCATATTTTTCTAATTTGCTATACTGAAAAACAACTTCACAAGGAGTTTAGGCCTGCAAATATGCTATACAGTTTTATATACATAAATGTGTGTGTGTGTGTGTGTGTGTGTGTGTATTACCTTCAAAAGAGGACTTGTATTTTCCTGGATATCATATTCGGCAGCCAATGCCGAATTGGCATTGGCCTTTCAGACTGCTTAAGGTCTTAGCTCAGATCCCGTGTTCAGATTCTTCTATGATATTCATAATGTATAATGTTTTGAACAAAACTTCCAAGAGAAGAGATGGCATTTCTAGGAAGGATAATCCTTAAACTAGATTTACTTTGCAAGATAATGACCAGATTCAGGGTATCTCTCCTGTGTAGACAGAGGAAAATTTACTAAAGACATAACCATTTGTTCCATTAAAGTTCTGTCTAGATACACTTAAGCAAAAGAGGTGTGACTTACTGCATTGAAAGCAATAAGACAGGCTACACTCTCCATTGGAAAAACACACACAGGACAAAGTAAGTGGTGGCCAGGTATTTGGCATGGCTGAGCTTCTGTCTAATCCTCGCTTTGTTGGATGTGCTCCCTTTTAGAACTGGAACCTTAAAACCTGTGAATTGAGAGACATATATGACACTGTGCTTGCACATGTATCCTGGATTCATTCTCTTTCAGCTAAAGAATGTCAGTTCTGCTCAGGGAAATATTTATTTTCCTTTCAAACTGACCACAGATAATTTGCATTATAAGTCCATTATGCGTTGGATCTGTCTTTGAACCACCATTATAGGGTTTTTGATGTGGAGTATCTTCTGCTTATCTTCAGATCAGATGGGGATACCCACATGGGATTAAATGGGGAAGCAAAAAGTATGCAACTTGGTCTCGAACACAGATTTTGTTGCAACTGACTCAGATGGAAAATAAGAAAAGAGTAATCTCTTAGCTCATACTCTGGATTTCAGCTCTATAGATCATCATGTTATTCTCTTAGTGGAAACTAACTGTATAATTAGTCAGCCCCATATAATTTACATTACCATTTTGCTAGAGAAACATTCCCTTTTTCAGTCCTGATTCAGTTATTTCTTCTGCAAGAGAGGTCCAATTTTGTTTCATCAAATAAATGACCTTACAACCGTCCAGCCCAACAGCTAGAGATGAACACACACCTTTACTGTTACAGCTGGGTTGCCCAGATATGACAAACACAGTACTTTTTATAGTACTGTGGAATTTTGTTGGGAAAATACAGTGTATTTCCCCAATAGGCCTCTATTTTCCTTCCCAATGACTTTCTATAAAAAGTGGTCTCAATAAATCCTACAAGATGCTGACTAATCTACTTTTTGCCTTTCCATTTTTGGGGCTCAGAGAGCAAGACACGAGGAAGTAGAAACTCACTTCAGGTGTGACTCTCAATGAGCTTTTGTGAGCCACTTCTGAGAAGCAAAATCAATAAATAGGTTTATGAAGGCATTTCTGAGAAACGTCTAAGAAATTTCATCTCAGGAGTTCTGCTAACATCAGTAGAGACAGATCTGTGGTGCATCTCTGGACAGCTAAAGAGCTGGCTGGAGTTGCAGTAGGGAGAACTTTGGATACCAATTGTGCACATTTGGTAAATTCTTAGAGCTAGAACCCTTAATCTTTTCCTGTCTTTCCTGATATATTATCTAGATGTGCACCATGGAATTTCTATGTTCTTTACCTCTTTCTGAGACTGTTTTTTATCTTAGATAGGAGAATGTGAAATGCTGAAAGTTGCCAGAACCCAGGGGCTTCCACTAAAGTTCAGCCATGACAGACAATGATGTAAAAATCTACTGGCAAGGATGTTTTTGCCTACATCCAGTCAGCAAAGCATTTTATTTCAGTCCTCAAATGTGAGGGGTGCTGTATTCTGTAAATATGAAATTCTTACCCAATTTAAAGTCATTTAAAGTTGTTGTCTTATTAATACAATTTAAGTAGTAGTAAATTTCATATTTGTAGTAGTAAATTTCTACAATGTGTTGTGCTAAAAATACTGGGTTCAGTTTAGTTAATACTCATTAAAGGAAAAGTTACAATTTGCCAAGCGAGCATACTTACTCATTAATTCATGTGTACTGCCATGTGCTCTATCAGATGCTTTCTAAAATAGTCCTGATGGCTTCTGCTCTTAGCTCCCAAAGAATTGCTTTTTTTTTCTATGTGTTTTATTTTTGCCCTTCTTTGGGTTTTTGTATTTCTGCTTTATGTGCTGTGACAGTATTTTAGATGTGACTCCCAGATTTTTTCCTCTGTAGCTCATCATACATTTCTTTACCACAAGGTTAGAAATAGGAAAACAGGGAAGAATGAGGGATTGGGCAATTTGTTCATTTGTTTTCCTATGCAAGCAAAATTTGTTGTCTCAGAAGCAAAACTGGAATGGGAGAATGATATCATTTACCAAAGGAATGAATGCTCAATGCTTTCCTTAGGTAGTGAGAAATAAATTGAGCATGCAGTTAATACTGCAGAGTGCAGACTGGGAATATCTTCGTAGGGAAGAGTCAGGGATGTCCTCTTCCCCCTGCTGGAGCATCACATACTCTTGGTGTAATCCAGAGCATTCCAAAGGCAAGACACATGCCTTTCAGAAGTACTTTATGAAACCATGCAGATGAGTCAACCCTAGTTGGGTTGGTTTGGCAGTATCCTGAGATGGAATGAATTCCAGGAACAACATGGAAATCACATTGACTCTCCCTTGGTTTAGTTGGGAGAATTTTAAGCAGTGGTTCACATTGCTTCTCTCAGCTACTGCTGGTTTGTGTTTAGGTGGGGGTCACAAAAACAAAAATAGTATCTCACAGTTATTGATGATCTGACTCAACGTGTGCTCAATCCTGTATTGATTTCTGTAATGCACAGGGCTGGCCTTGTATGTGAACATTCCTGTACCATTGATTGATAGAGTAGCACCAACCACGTTTCTCAATATTTCTTTCTTTTTCAGAAAGTGCTTTTATGTTCTTAATGTGTTTTTTCCTTGGACATACAAATAAAAATCTACATTACCCATTCATTATGATCATTATTTGTACTACTCATCATCTCTGCTCCTGATGTTGTTTCGTTTCATGGTGGTCTGATCTAAGCTTTCTAAAGCAGAATGACCTGAAGTATCTGAAACTTTGCAGCAACATATGTGGTCAAGTGAGGTGAATGGGAACTCAGGTTTGCAGTAGATGGGCTAGTAGATAATAGTCTGAATTTATACCCCTTCTTTCAGCAGGGCCTATTAGCATATGTACAGCACTGCTCTTCTATCAGATCTCATAGCTTTTGGGTTACAGCTGATCTGCAGAGACAAAAGTCACTAGGAAAAGAAATAATCAGTGTACCTAAGGGACTTGAGTGTATTACAAACTATTTCCTTTCTTCTGGAATTGAAGAGGGGTTATTAGAGTTGGTTGAGGTATCTGGATCTCAGCCTCAAACATCCATCATTTCAGGAGAGGAGGGGCGGAGGAGGAAGACAGCTAAAGGTATTAGTTTTGTGCAAATAAACCAAGTTGAATGTTACTTTCTGATCTGCATTGTTACTGGAAAGTAAAGAATTCTGTTCTACTACACACAATCTAATCATAAGAGAAAAAAAAATTACTGCATTGATGGTCTTTTGATTTATTATGGATTATTTCCTGATCTTTTAATTTCCTCTTTGTCAGCTATGTCTTTTCCAAATGTCTCAAAAGGGCAGTGAGAAGTACAGATCTGACACTTAGAAGCAACTACATTTGGTGTATTTTTAGAGCAGGAGAGCACATATGAAGTAGCTTTTATTTGAGGAAGCAGTAACCATTTAAGAGTTCTTTCAGGGAGTCAGATCAACTTTTAGCATAATCACAAAAATATTTCAGCAGTATATCACTTTCAATAGCTGCAGCTATTTCTGTC